CCCGTTGAGACATCAAGAGCACACCCATATTTACTGAATGCTGATGGTCGTAGGACGCATTCTGTTGCTCACCAGATAGAGAATACAGGAGGTACATCACTACCGGTCACAAGAACAGATGCTTACAATCAAGCTGACCAAAACTGGAGGCCCAATGCCCGGATGCGTGGAGCCCTATCTGGGCAAGCTTATTCAGATGCTTTAAACGAGTTTATTCTTCGGCCAACCCCGCAACCTCAAGCTGCTCGACCAATCTCAAATGCAGGCCCACTTCCAGGTAATGTCCCAGCACCATTGCAACCTCTCGTGGCTCAGGGTCCTCAACTGCCAAATTATCCATCCACAGGACAAGCTAGTAGGCCTAGGGTTTCTGGTGTTTCACCAGAGGGATCTTCTGGAAACTGATGTGTAGACTTGGAGGTACCTAGTGAATCTCAGATGGCGAAAATTGTCTTCTGCGGCCATTTGTACATGTATTTCTGAATGCTTATGGCATGAAGACTCGACTTGGGTTACACTCGGTTTTATGTTGTTTTCTTGACTCGCGAGTGATGAACGCCTTATTCAGTAGGTAGGAACTCACATTTTTTGTCTGAGGCTGTATGTTGAGTTTTGTTTATGCATGAATTCTCCATCCCCATACATGTTTATTTTCCAGCTTGTTTGTTCTTAGGTTAAGGAAAATTAAATATGTAGTTTTATTATATTCAGGAGCCTTGGTAAATGGCAATAATGCTTCTTGTGATATCGAAGTGGGTTCTGCTATGCACATTTGTCTGTAATAATAAAGGCTAACACTCGATTTATGTTTACTTGTCAAATGTAGGAGGCTCGAGTTCAAATGTAGAAGGCTACGTCTAAAATTGTTGAGTGGACCATGTTGGGATTTTAATTGTAACTTTTTTGAGAAAATTGGGTGTGTCGAGGTTTTTGTGGGGGAAAAAAAAAATTAAGGGTTCTGTTGTAAATAAAACGCAAAGGAATGTCCTTAGTCATGTACAATATATTGAAATTTTAGGCCCCGTTTGATAGTCATGATTTTCCAACATTTGCACTTGTTTCATAGAACACCTTTCCACATTTTTTCAGCTTTTTGAGGAAAGCTTTTTCTTGTTGTTTTGGTTGGAAAATTTTTTTTTTTTTTTTTTTTAATTTTTTTTTTTTTGTTTTGGTTGTTTTTTTTTTTTTTTTCTTTTTTTTTTTTTTTTTTAATAATTGGAAAAAATTCTAGACACTGGTAAAAAAAAATTTCATTTTTATTGATAATTTTCATGCAAAACAAAGTCAAACGAATGATATTTGGTATGGTAATTTTTATTTTTCAATTTTTTTTTGACAATTGGAACAAATTCTGGATCCAATGGTAGAAAAAATTATCACTTTAATGGACAATTTTCATAAAAAACGAAATCAAACGAACATCAAATTTTCAACATTTTTCAAGTGGAAAATCATACTAATCAAACACAATTAATTATAATTCCCAGTAAAATAATTTTTAGGCAATTCAATTCCCTGTAAAACATTTTCTTTTCACCTATTTTCCACATTTGCAATCAAATGGACCTTTAGATGAATTTAACAAAGTAGAAATTATATTCACACGAATTTTAGCTTTTAACTACAAAAATCAAATTTACAACATATTTATTCAAAAATCAAATAAAATTCAAATGTTTAATATTTATAATAATATTATTAAATTAAATTAATCTGCCACCACCCACCTTTACCTACGCCACCCCACCTTGATTGCCACCCACAAAACATAATTCATTTTCAAAAACTATTCACCTCCACGGCCATCACAAACATGACTCTTCATGGTGCACCCACTACGACGATTCTTAAAGGTACATCCACTCCGGCTAATCGTTACGGTACAGCAATGGAGCTCCTTCGTGCTAGGTACCGTTGCTTCGTGCACCAAGAAGCTGTGACGCTCCTTCGTGCGCATTACGAGCAGTCACGATGACGCTCCCTCATGCTAGGCTTCCCTGCTTCGTGCGCAGCGGCACTCCTCCGTGAACAACAGTGCAGATCTGTTCGTTTTTCCTTCGTGCACTGCGGCGCAGATCTTTTTTTCTGAGTTTGATTTCTCTTATATGGATGATATGGAGTTGTGGTTTGTGGTGTCCGATGGTTTTTTTGTGCTTTTTACGAAGGTCTGGGATGATTCAATATTGCTTCTACTCGAAGTAGGAAGCAGTGATGGTACAGTGGTGGTTTTGGACGAGTTAAGGTGATGGTGCGATGGTGGTATTGTGGTGCGGTGGGGGTGCATTAGGCGGTGCTGTAGTGGTGTGCGGTGCGGTGCGGTGCGATGCGGTGTGGTGGTGGTGATGGTGGTAATGAGGTGGGACAAAGTTCGGTTGGTGCCGGTGATGGGGATGGGGATGGTGCTTGGAGGTAGAGGTAGAGGTAAGGGTGAGATGAAAAGTGTTTGTCACCAATTATTTAGGCAGCGGCGGTGGTGGTGAGGCGGCTCAACGTTCGATTGGTGTCGATGGTGAGGTTGGAGATGGAGGTGGAATGAAGAGTGTTTGTACTTTGGTGTTTGTCGCTAACTATTTGGTTAATTTGTGACCAATAAATAATATGTAATCAATAAAATAAATAATTTATGATTAATAAATAATGTGACCTATGAAATTTGTGATTTGTGACTAAGAAATAATACGTGAACTATTAATTTGATAATTTGTAAACGATAATACTTGTGACCTACAAAATTTGTGATTTGTGACCAAAAAACAATGCATGATAAATTAGTTTCGAAGTTTGGTTTTTTTATTTTTTGGTCAAAATTTTCGATCAATTTTTTTCATTTATTTTAAAATAAAAGAGTTAGTTTTAACGAAATATTATTGAGATGTAACAAATTTGTGCAAAAAGAGGGGAAAATTTTGAAGGTAACAGTGTCATTTCCCCCAACCTAAAAAAATAAACGCACATATAGAGTACGAGGCTATAGCAATTATAAGAGTACAAATAACTACCATTAAATGATATATGGGTTATGCTTCATGTACATTATGATACACATAATGGTGTCCATAATGTACATGTGGCGC